TTTCAGCTAGACGATATTCCATGTCCACATGCAATGGCAGTTATACAAAAATTCCATATGGATTCATACAAGTATTGCTCGGATTACTACTACATAGACTACTTGCTGAAAACATATGAGATACCAGTAAATCCATTGCCTAATGAAACAACGTGGCAAATTCCAGAAGATGTCTCTTCGCAGGTGGTACTGCCACCAAAATGAAAAATCAAACCAGGAAGACCTAAAAAGAAGAGAGGCATAGGAGGCTGGGAAGGAAATACAGTTACATGTGCACTATGCGGGAGAAAAGGACACAATCGGGGAACATGCCGAAATACTCCAAAGAGAGATTGATATAATGCTTCAATGTTTTTATAGAACTCATATATCGTAGAATCATAGCATTTGAATTGCAAAAAAATAAAATGCATTTCTTGCACTAGACATATATTTGGTATGATGATTCTTTGAGAAATTACTTTTTGGCAACAAATTTATATGGCTACTTGTATTTTCAATAAGAATCTATTTTTTTTATTTTAGTATATAAAAGTGGGATGCATCTACATCTAGTTGTTGCAGGAAAAAAGATGCTAAAATATATATGTGATACCCAAATGGTATATCTGTATACCTTATTGGTATATCTGTATATCTTATTAGTATCAAAATATGTGCAGAAATAGAAGTGGTGCTGCAAATGCAACATTTGTACATACTTTGTTAACAAAATGGTCATGCTTTGCAGCTCATGTCTGTATTGAAGTATAACAAATTGGAAGCCATTTACATGCAGTTATTGTACATCATTAGGTACATTAATACAAGGTGATACCCGAATGTTATATTTATATACCTCGCTAGTATATAGTGGTATTGCACTAATATGGCTAAAACAAAATATGCGCAGAAATACAAATGGTGCACCAAATACAACGTGATACCCAAAATGCGCACGCTTTGGAACTCATGTCAGTACTTACATCTAGTTGCTAAAGGAAGAAAGGTGAGTCAAATACAACGTGATACCCAAATGGTATATCAGTATACCTGATTGGTATATAGTTCTACAACACTAATACACCATCTATGCTAAAACTACAGATGGACATTAAAGCTTAGACCATCATCACATTCGAAAGCAGATCATTTAACTTCTGTCACAACTACT